TTTCCGTCACACTCTAGTTCTTTTCTGCATCTTCTTTCTTTGACTGTACCAGAGAAATGAATTATATTTAGTGTGCTTGCCTCTCAGTTTCCTCAAGAGTCTCCCACCATCCCCCTACAACCATCACAGCTACACTGTGCTGTCAGGATATTATGTGAATTTCATTTAGCTTTCCTATTGCACCCTGTTTGCTGGCCCTGAGCTGGTTCTACTTCTTGTTCAGCTGGATTTTTAACTTTATTCACTTTTCTTCAGCACGCTCCTTTTCCCTGCCTACTCTCCTTCTTCCAGGTGCTGGCACTGACACATTGATTCCCCCACCCACTCCTCCTTTTACCGCCCTTTAAGTAAGCCTAACACATCCTTCAGCTATTAAAAATGCATTCAGTAACATTTTAATGTCATATAAGGCCACATAATCAAGGTCTCCATATGCTGCTATTTACTGTTGTTAGTAATTATTTTTAAAAAATATGTTTTTATTGATTTTTTTAGAGAGAGGGGAAAGAGATAGACAGACACATCAATTTAAGAGAGAAACATCAATCGGCTGCCTCCTGCATGCCCCCTTCTGGGGATTGAGCCCACAACCTGGGCATGTGCCCTGATCAGGAATCCAACCAGGACGTCTCAGTCCATGGGATGATGCTCAATACACTGAGCCACACCAGCCAGGCTAGTAATGATTTTTTAAATGGCAAGTTGGCTCTTTTTGGGTCCTAGCCATTCCTGGACTGGATGTCTTCCCCACATTGTGTACATGTATATGAGACATTCTAGCCCAAACTCCTTTATCTTGTACTATTTATTATGTTTTTACCAAATGAGTTCAGCAGAACATCTAAAAGAAATAAAGTTCTTTATCCCCTCAATAGGATATGGTTGTCAACATTACCATTAACATATGTCTCTTTATCACCACCTCCTGGGGAAACTGGCAAAAGCAGTATTCACCTCCTTTAGATTTTCAGGAATGAGCCCCTCATGCCCTGTAAATTGGAATGCTTTCTCCTTTCCAGTTGTTTGGTCTCATGCTCTCTCAGGTCAAGGCTCCTCAGCATAGCTCCAGAGCCATACAATCCAGGGAAATATTTCAACTACCTAACTTTGGTAAGATCCAGCTATCACAAAAGAGTCTTGTGCCATTAAAAAGCAGTATAAGAGGTCCTAACCCTTCCAGTTACTTCATTTTGGAGAAACAAGCTGTTCTTAATTGGATAGGCTTAGAAATCCTGCAGAGCAAATTGTATAAAAGATGAGATCCAGATTGCAGCTCTGAGTCACCTGGCTTGCTAACTTTATTTACCTAACTTCCCCAAGTCTACCTCCTTCCTGATAACTTAAACATTTACCCCTCTGGGAACTTTCTTCCAACTGAAAATATGGTGCATTTGATGCTCCTACTACTCATATTAAGACATTTCCAAATCCCCTTCCAATATCACAGATGTCAAGGTTGATTTCCATTTGTAGCTAATTCTGCCACCAGCCATAGAACACCACTATCCAGCCCCCCTCATACAAAGCCACACACCTCTGTAAAGGAATTGGCTGAGAAAAACTATACATTTTCCCACCACATATAACTGGTTAGCTATGCAGTACCTTAGCCACGGTCAGCTAGGTCTGTTAGCCATGATGTCTTAAGCAAATATAGTACAGCAAAAGCTTAAACTCAAAATTGTACCAAATGAAAACATCTGCATCTTTTATAATCACATGATTCTACATTCTAGAACACCTCCCACAATGACAAAATTCCTGGAATCTGGAGGGACAGGGAACAAGGATTGTGACCTCATAAACTTGCATTCATCTAAATTTCAGTGACGATTTCAGCATTATCTGGTTTGAAAAATAGAATATATCTTTCCAATCCTAATGTGGTTTCCTGTAACCTAATCTAGTGTGTCCAAATAAGTATGTCATCTTTGTTGGAGAAAATGGTATATCAGATGGTTTGTTCTAATTCCATAGTTTCTGTACACTTATATATGTTATATATATATCCATGCATATATGTATCTTTATTTTTTTTTAAATTTATTTTTTTATCCTCACCTGAGGACATTTTTTTGGGTAGAGTGGGAGGGAGAGAGAGAGAGAGAAACATCGAGTGGCTGCCACCCGCACGACCGACCAGGGCCGGGGACAAACTGCAACCAAGGTACATGCCCTTAGCGGGAACCGAACCCGGGTCTCTCTGGACCGCAGGCTGATGCTCTAACCGCTGAGCCAAACCGGCCAGGGCCATATATGTATCTTTAAAATGCCATTAATACATGCACATTTGTTAATGTACATACCCTCTGTTCTGAATCATCATTGTGGATGATTTAATTACTAGGAATTGGAAATTATGATGAAAGTTATGGTAAAGTCTAATTCTTGGGTAATATGAACTGAAAGATTATATCCCATGGCTCACATTTCTAGGGACAGCTATCCTAAATGGAAGAGAGAAGCATACGTCAAACTAATCTATTACCTAGTGTTAGTTTATAGGGTTGCTGTAACAAAATTGAGTGGCTTAAATAAGATAAAAGTGTTAGTTCACCTGTTGAAGGCTAGAAGTTCAAGATTAAGGTGTCAGTAGGGTTGGTTTCTTCTAAGGGCTGAGAGAATCTGTCCTGTGCCTCTCCCCTAATTGCTAGTGATTTTGTGGGCAATCTTTGGTATCCCTTGGCTTGTAGAAGCATCATCGCATTCTCTGTGTCCATGTATCTGTCCAAATCTTCCCTTTTATAAGGACATCGGTCATATTGGACAGGTCCCACTTTAATGACCTTATCTCAACAAATTATATCTGCAATGACCCTCTTTCCATATAATGTCACAGTCTGAAACAAGTGGGGGTTAGGACTTCAACATATGAATTTGAGGGGGGAACATAATTCAACCCATAACACTCAGTTATTGGTTTTACATATCTTCAACTAACATTTGTAAAATTATTCCCCAAAGTGATTATACCAATTCACTCCCACCAGCAGTGTATGAGTGTTCCTACTGCTCTACATCCTTGCTAACACTTGGTATTGTCAGTCTTTAATTTTTGTCCATAACATGGCAGTAAAATTATAATTAATTTCCACTTAATTATTAGGGAGCTTGAGTCCTTTACATGTTTATCAAGTGTTCCTGTTTCCATTTTTGTCAATTGCCTATTATTTTCTTTTGCCTTTTATTCTATCATTTTCACCAAAAACATATATATTGAGTGCCTATTATGTAGCATGTACTATTTTAGGCACTTGAGATATGATAGGTCATAATTTCCATTCACATATGGTTTATAGTCTAGAAAGAATGATACAAAAAATCATAAGATAATTAGATAGCACATTAAAGGGTGATAAGGGCTGAAGAAAACTGAAACAAAGACCTGGCCCAGTATGGCTCAGCTGATTGAGTGTCATCCCATGCACCAGAAGGTTGCTGGTTCAATTCCTGATCAGTGCATATGCTTGCATTTCAGGCTCAATCCCCAGGGTGGGGCATGCAGGATGCAGTCCACTGATGTTCTGATCTTGCATCTGTGTTTCTCTTTCTCTTTTCCTCTCCCTTCCTATCTAAAAAACAATTTTTAAAGAAAATGAAAAGTGAAGGAGAGAAGAAGGCAAGGAGTAGCTCTGTGGGGACTTGCAATTTGAAATCTCAGGGCCAGGGCAGGCCACAATGAGAAGGTAATATTTTCAGATACTTGAAAGAAGTGAGAGAGCCAGCCATGTGCCCAACTGGTGGACAAGTTTTTCAAGAAAAGGGTTAGAAAACCAGCTTCCCTGAGCAGGGGAAGGGGACTGGAGGTTAGGTCTGAGAGGTGAGGGGCAGAGGGGGCAATCTTATAGGTGGGTGTAAGGACTTTGGCTTTTACACTGCAAGTGAAAAATCATAGGAGAATTTCTAAAATAATTATTCTATCTACTAGGTTGAGAATAACGCCAAAACTAAAAATCATGTGTGTGCTGCTTTGTTCCATGTACTGAGCCAGGCACTTTACATATATTAACTCATTTAATATATTCCAGACAGGAAGGCAGGAATGGAAGAAGGGAGACCTGTTCAGGTTATTAGTTCTTTCTTTACTGATTTATAGAAGTTCCTTATATATTTCAGGTACTGCTTATCTTTTGGTGATTATATGTGGTTGCAAATATTTTCTCTCATTTTGTGGGATGTTTTACTATTTAAATTATGACAACTGCAATTCAGAATATCTATATTTCTTTGTACACGTATTCTCTCTTGTGCATTTTTCTCATTAACTTTTTAGTCAATGCCTTCTTTAACACAAGTCACCCATAATTTTTGGTTAGTTATTTCCTCTTCCCTGTAACCATTACACTTGATATAAACCTCTTTTGGAACACTAGAATTACGTATTAAGGCATGTGTTCATCACTGCTCTGTGAATTCCAGGATGTGAGATCGTGTCTTACAAATCATGTCCCAGTCACTAGCACGTGCTCAATAAATGTTTGTAGAAGTGGGGAAAAGTGATCTGGTATCGCTTCACCTGGGAAAATGAGAAAATGGGAGATGTACTCCAGCGAGTGAAATGGAGAAGAAAGGGGTTGCGATGGGAAACGCAACTGCGTACTGAACAGTGCTTTGGCTGCAAATACCTAGAATACTGGTATAGCTGTACGAATTAACCTTTGCAGTAAAGAGATCACCGAGATGATAGCTCCACGGCCACCCTCATTTTACTAGACTACAGTGTGGGAGGGCGTCAAGGAATTCGCCAAAGGTTAAGCTGAGTGCAGATTCCTAGAACGACTGCTCTGAGATTCTGGTAACTCGGAGTATATCCCTGACCTTTGGGCAATCCGTCGCGGTGTAAATTACAGGACCCGAGAGGCAGACACCTAACACAAAACCCTTTCCCCAGTGCCTGGACCAGACGCTGGTGCACTCACTGCGCGTGCGCCAGTTCCCCTTAGGAATGGGCGGGGCAGCGCCGGACCCGAGGAGCTCCTGAGGGGAGGAGCCAGCTGTCTCCTAAGTGACCGCGCGGCGGCCTCGGTGGTGGATTGAGCGCGTCTGAACGGGCGTCCTCGGCGGCGAGGCGCTGTCATGGCGGGCCTGCTGAAGAAGGTGAGGCGGCCGAGGTCACTGGTGGGATTTAGACTGTGGGGTGGCCCGCCGACAGCCCCCCTCGCCGGTGGCCGGCGCGGGCGCGGGCGCGGCGGCGCTTCGGGGCGCTCGGCCCGCTCTGCCCTCCCGGGCAGGTAAAACCCCGAGCGAGCGGCACCGAGAGCGCGGTCGCTGGTTGGGGCCGGTTTTAGCCTGGGGTTGGTGGTTTTGCTTTTTCTCAGCGTGGTGAACGTGCCGAATTTTAAACACCATGAATCGTGCTTTGTTTTTGAACAGACCACTGGCCTCGTGGGGTTGGCGGTGTGTGAGAGTCCGCACGAGGTAGGTGCCCCTTCCGCGCCGCCGCCGGGGAGGCTGGGCCCGGCCGTGCCCGAGGCGACGGGGCCCGAGGCGGACGGAGCCCGAGGCGACGGGGCGCGGCGCCCCCGCCGGTCACACCTCGTCCGAGCGCGGGCGGCCGGGCTCCCCGCTTTCCTGTGCCCGTGCCTCTTTCTTTCTCTCTGTCAGGACCTCTTCAGCCACTTTTCTTGTTGACCATTGTTTGCGGCACTCGCGCGGCTTCACTCCTACCTTCAGGAGCCCTTTGGCCGTCAGTGTCCTCTTCCAGTAGGTCTTTCCCTTCAGTACTCAGACGTACTTGCGTCTTCCCGCCCCCAAAGCCCCCAAATCTCCCGTGCTCGTCCTCCCTCCAGTTACCACACCCTGTCTCTCCTTCCCTGTATAGGTAACTCCTTATGGTTACGCAACATGTCTCCGAGTTCCTTTTTTATTTTACTTAGAAATTTTATTTTTTAAAATTACAGTTTACTTTTGGTATTGTTTTGTATTAGTTTCAGGTGTACAGCATATACTTTGCGAAGTGTTTGCCCCGATGTTTCCTGTAGCCACCTGGCACCATATCTAGTTATCACAATATATTGAGCATAATTCCTATGCTGACTATTTGGTAACTTGTACCAATCTGCACTTCTTGATGCCTTCACCTTTTCACCCAGTTCCAACCCCCTTCCCCTCTGGCAACCACCCTAAATTTAACCAAGGAAGTAAAAGACCTGAACTTGGAAAATTATAAAACAGTGAAGAATACAAATAAATGGAAGCGTATGTAGTGTTCATAGATGGGAAGAATTAACATTGTTAAAATGTCCACACTGTCCAATTTCTCTTTTTACCCTTTGAACATACTCCAGTCAGACTGCTCTTTTTTTTCAAGGTCACCATGACCTCGGTGCTGCTAAATCCAATGGTTTCTGACATTTCTCATTGTAACTGACCCAGTAGCAGCCCTGGCACGTGTGGCACTGTCTCCCTCAAGCACTTCTTTACTGTGCTTCAGGACACCTGTTTCTTAGCCCTGCTCCTTCTGCCTTCTCTCTTTCTGGTTGTTCGTCATATCCCCCTTCTAAATTTTGGAGTTCTAAGACTTACTTTGGACCTTTACTTACATGTGTTCTCTCTTGGTGTCTGGGACCTAGTCTAGTTGTTTTAAATACCACCCTGTACATTGATAACTCTTAAATTTCCATATCGAGCACTTACCTCTCCCTTTATGAGAGTCTTGTATATTTAATTGCTTAGGGGACATCTCCACTTGGATGTCAGGCAGGCTACCCAAACTTAACATGTCCAAAATTGGGTTCCTGTTCTTAAAATCTGCTCCAAAATTGGGTTCCTGTTCTTAAAATCTGCTCCTCTCTTAGGCTTAGTGAATGGCAGTTCCATTCTTCTAAAAGCCTGGAAATCATCTTTCATTTCTATTTTCTCTCACCCCACATTTGGTGCTTCAGTAAATCTTCTGGGGTTTGCCTTAAAAATATATCCCTGTGTTGACTGCTCACCACCCCCTGTCCTCAGCCACCATTACCACTGCTGAGCATAATTGCATTTGCTTCCTAACTTTGTCACTGCCTCAGTTTGGTTATTTTTAATTTTTTTTTTTTTTAATCCTCACCCGAGGACATTTTTCGATATTTTGTTCAGATAGAGTGGGAGGAAGAGAGAGAGAGAGAGACATCGATGTGAAAGGGACACATCGAGTGGTTGCCATCCACATGACCCAACCAGGGCCGGGGACAAACTGCAACCGAGGTACATGCCCTTAGCGGGAACCGAACCCGGTCTCTCTGGACCACAGGCCGATGCTCTAACTGCTGAACCAAACTGCCCTGGCCAGGGCAGTTTGGTTATTTTTAAATCAAACTAGAGTCAGCCTGTTAAAATATAAGTTAAGTAGTATCAGTCCTTTCCTCAAAAGCCTCCTGTGGCTTTTCACTTTAAGTAAAAGAGTCCTTACTGTGACCCTTCAGATCACTAGTCAACAGACTGTATTCTACGAATTTATTGTTTGTTGTCTGTCTCTAGAATGTAGGTTTTCATGAAGGCAGCAATTTTTAAATTTTGTTCACTGCGAGAACTATGACTAGCATATGGTGTGTGCTTAGTAAATGTTTGTTGAGGAAATGCCATGTACTCATGAGTTCATAATGACTTTAGACTCATTACTGTCATAAACTGAATTCGTGGTTTTCCATTTCTCAGTCTGTTTTTTCCCACTGTGGACTCTATTTTCTTGAGAATTATCAGTTTTTTTACTCCCCAGGTTGGGAATGTGGACATCATAGTTGATACTTCTCTTACTCTTGCACCTTCATGTTCATTCCAGTGATGAGTTCTCTTGATCTTTTTCTCTAACACCCCTCCAGTCTGGTATCTATTTCCTTTCCCTACTGATAGTACCACAGTTTAGTCCCTTGCTCTTGTTTAAAGAATTGCAGCAACCTTGTTACTGGCCTTTCTGCTTGTTTCTCCATCCAACCCAGGTTTATTTTCTTGAAGCACAGATGTAATCATACAATATCCCTAAATCTTTTTATTGCCTACAGAATAGAACCCAAATGCATTAACTTAGCATTCCAAACAACTTATAATCTAACTCACTTTTTCTCTAGCCTTATCTTCTAAGCATTCCCTACGTGTCCTATATTCTATCCATATTCTGTCCAATAAAAATAATGCAAGACATAAATGTAAGCCATGTTTATAATTTTCTAGGAGTCACCTTTTTTAATAAAGAAAAAGGTAAAGTTTCCCCAGCCTGTGTGGCTCGGTTGGGCATTGTCCCGTTCTCTGAAGGGGTCACTGGTTGGATTCCTGGTCAGGACACATGCTCGGGTTGTGGGTTCGATACCCCATGGAGGCTCATGGAGGAGGCAGCTGATTGATGTTTCAGCTGTCACGTTGATTCTCTGTCTCTCCCTCTCAATCCCTTCCTCTCACTCCATTCCTCTCTCTAAAAATTAATAAAACATTTAAAGAAAAAGGTAACATTAATACTTTAATAATATATTTCATTTTATCTAACATATTCAAAATATTTCACTATATAATTAATATAAAATTTGATATTCTATAGTCTTTTTTTTTTCATGCTAAATATTCAAAATCCAGTATGTATTACACTTCTAGCACATCTCTGTTCTGACTAGCCACATTGTAGGTGCCTTTTCCAACATCTTTAATTGTCTAAGCCCTACCGTCCCTCCAGATCTGTCTCCACTGCTACCTTTTCTGTAACCCCTTCTTTGATACCTGCTAAAGTGACTACTCCTTCCTATATAGAATAATAATGTTAACATTTATTGAAACCTAATGTGTGCCAGGTACTGTTGTAAGTTATACAACACCCTATGAAGCATATATTATTAATATCCCCATTTTAAAACTCAAGTCTCTTAAGAGGCCATTCTTATTGTCATACCCTTTCTTTAAATTAAAGAAGAAATGTGGCTAAGAAAACCACACATAATTCATTTTATGTTCTTTGTGACAAGTTCTATAGTAGTATCGTAAAATACCCTCTATTATGGAATATCATGTTCAAATATATAAATAATGTCTAAATTTGCAGACTACTTTTTAAATAAAATGATTCTTAGAGGTCCTCAAGGTTGGTTTGTGTATATGTGTGTATGTGTTTATATGCTTATTGATTTTATACAATTAAAACTAAAACAAATTTCAAATCAAATTAAAGAAATAATAAGGAAAGATTATTTTTCTTAAATTATAAAAGGGATAGATAGGGCATAGACATGAAGAAATTACAGCTAAAGGTAAATCATTTTTCTTAAAGAACAGTTGTGAGTCCTTTTTTTTTAAACCTGTGAGACTTTTTAAAGTATCCCATTTAATCTTTGGTGTGTTTTAAAATGAAAATTTGTATGATTTAATTTTTCAGAGGCTAAGAATATTGTACACAAAAATTCTTGATGTTCTTGAGCAAATCCCTAAAAATGCAGCATATAGAAGATATACAGAACAGATTACAAATGAGAAGCTGGATATGGTTAAAGCAGTAAGTAGCTGACTGAATTTTGTTTTCTTGTGTTTATGATATCCAGTGCAGCGTTTAACAAAAAAATTTCAGTTGCTTATTTTTTGTAAATTCTACACACTTTCCTCTTACTTCTGTTCTTTTTCCTTCCATGCATTTCTTCCATCTTTTCTCTCATTCATCAAATGCCTGTTTACTGAGTGCTTTCTATATACAAGGCCCTATTAAATACTGGAGTAAAAGAATACGATCAAGTACATTCCCTAAGTTAATATTGTAGCTATTTCATTTACCTCTTTTTCCTATCCAGTCCTTTATTGATCTTTTATTTTTTGTCTTTAGATACATCCATCTTCATCCCCTTTTTATAGTTTCAGAGTAGAGAAGAATGAAAACAAAACAAAACCAGTATGTTGTATTTGAAGAAAACTGTCAGAAATAACGTTTTTAAAGTGCTTTGTTGCAGCCCAGCTGGTGTGGCTCAGTGATTGAGCATCGACCCATGCACGAAGAAGTTGCTGGTTCGATTCCTAGTCAGGGCACATGCCCAGGTTGTGGACCCAATCCCCAGTGGGGGCATGCAGGAGGTGGCCAATTGATGTTCTCTCTCATTGATGTTTGTCTCTCTCTCCCTTCCTCTGTCTCTGAAAATCAATAAAGAAAAAAAAAAATGTTTTTAAGTGCTTTGTTGCAAAAAGAAGAGGACCAAATTAGTCACTTAACTACAAATTTTTAATGAGCATTGTTAAGGACTGAATGTTTGTGTCCCCTCAGAATGTATATGTTGAAGCCCTAACCCTTGAACTGGAACTTCTATAGCAGTAATAAGGTTAATGAGGTAATGTGAGTGGTACCCTGATCCAGTAGAATTAGTGTCCTTACAAGAAGAGACATCAGAGAGCTCATGCCCTCTATGCCATGTGAGGACACAGTGAGAAGGTGGCCATCTACAAGCTAGAAAGATAGCTTTCAGCCCTGGTGGGTTTGGCTCAGCGGTTAGAGTGTCGGCCTGCGGTCCTGAGAGACCCGGGTTCGGTTCCCGCTAAGGGCATGTACCTCGGTTGCAGTTTGTCCCCGGCCCTGGTCGGTTGTGCGGGTGGCAGCCACTCGATGTGTTCCTTTCACATCGATGTTTCTCTCTCTCTCTCTCTTCCTCTCTCGCCCTCCCACTCTACCTGAACAAAAAATGGAAAAATGTCCTCGGGTGAGGATAAAAAAAAAAAGAGAGAAAAAAGAAAAAAGAAAGATAGCTTTCACGAGAAACCTACCCTGCCGGACCTTGATCTTGGACTTCCAGTCTCCACAACTGTGAGAAAGTAAATTTCTGTTGCTTAAGCCACTTAGTCATGGTATTTTGTTAGGGAGCCCAAGCAGATTAATATAAGCATGTTACAGCTTCTAAATCAAAGGCTCTAGACAGTAGACTACTCTCGATTCTTTTATAACAAACTATATTGTACTGTTGTCAAATTCCCACACTAACATGCACTTCATGGACTTTTATAATTATCCAGAGTTGTGTTCATAAACTCTAAAATTAATTGATGTGTGCAATAAGTAGCCTAATCTGAAGAATTTTCCTTAGGAATACAACAAAACAATGCAGTTTGATTTGGAACTTTTACTCTTAGCTTGGCAATTCTGGAATTTACAGATTGAAGTCTCTAAAGGGGAAATTAACATTTCTTTAGATTTTCCTTAAGGAAAATGGGCTTATTTTTTCCCCCATTAGAGAGTAAGAAATTTCCCTTTTTTTTTTCATAGGTAAATGTCTCCAACTCTTTTATTCTTTCTCTGCTTTCCTTGATCTAGGTACTATACCAGCATTTCATTTTTTTTTTAAATAACCTTTTATTGGAGGATTAATATACACAAAGAAATGTGCAGAAATCATAAATATAAATGTTGATGAATTTTCACAAGATAATCGCACCCATGTTAACACCAAATCAAAAGAGAGGACATTTCCAGAACACCAAAATTCTCTCTTGTTCCCCCTAAGTTACTATCCTCCTAAAGATAACTATCCTTCTTAACTCTGATAACCACATATTTGTTTTGCCTTGGTTGTGAATGGAACCATCAGTATGTACTCTTTTTCGTCTGGTTTCTTCCACTTAAGAGAGAGAATCATGTATGTTATTGTTTATAGTTATAGTTTGTTCATCCTCATGGCTATATAGTATTATATTTAAACACTAGTTTATTCATTCTATCATATGTGGTTTTTTGGGTTGTTTGTAATTTTGAGGCTCTGATTTGTGCTACTTTGAACATTCTTGAACATGTCATATGGTTTGGTTTATACCTAGGAGTGCAATTCCAGCTCATAGATAGCTATTATTTTTTTAAAATACATTGCATTTAATTGTCTTTTTTTTTTTTTTGTGGTACATGCCCCTAGTGGGAACCAAACCCGGGACTCTCAGGTCTGCAGGCTGACGCTCAGCTGCTGAGCCAAACTGGCCAGGGCAGATAGCTATTATTTTTAATGCTAATGGTGTCAGAGGAAATACAGAAAATACTAAGAAAAAATAAAGTGGTATTTTTAAAATCTATATTTTAGAAAGACTGAATTAGGCATCATTTTTCTTACTCTTTTTTTTTATTTTTATCCTCACCCGAGGACATTTTTCCATTTTTTGTTCAGATAGAGCGGGAGGGAGAGAGAGAGAGAAACATCGACGTGAAGGGACACATCGAGTGGCTGCCACCCGCACGACCAACCAGGGCCGGGGACAAACTGCAACCGAGGTACGTGCCCTTAGTGGGAACCGAACCCGGGTCTCTCTGTCCCGCAGGCCGACGCTCCAACCGCTGAGCCAAACCGGCCAGGGCCATTTTTCTTACTCTTGATAAGTATGTCAATACATGTTTAATACTTTTTAATATTAATATAAAAAAATAATAAAATAGATGAAATGGGTTTCCAAGTAATTGATAAAAATTAGTAAAGGTACAGTGAGAGAAAAAATCATGTTGGTTATAACAAGTGCATATTTTGTATAAGTTTTTAAAATAATAGGATATAAAACTTTCAGATATTGTGTTCCTTTGTTTAAATATTTTCCTTTTGTTCCTTAAATTATAGGAACCAGATGTTAAAAAATTAGAAGACCAGCTTCAAGGTGGCCAAATAGAAGAGGTGATTCTTCAGGTAAAGAAAAAGTTGGATGTAGATGTTTGGCTTCAGAAGTTCAGAGGCATAATGTATACAGGCACAAAGCTGACATTCCAGAAAGAAAGGAAAACTAAATTTCCTAATATCAATTGATCAAATATAAGACTAATCACAAGTACATAATACTTCTAATGTGTACATCAGTTACGTATCATTGATTATAACTTCAATTTATGAGGCTTCTATTAGAAGTTTGGAGTTTGATATTTTCTGAATATAATGGGCACATTCTTGTTAGCCTTACCTTAGTTCATATTAGTAACACAGTATTACTGTTATTTGAATAATTTTATGTTTTTTAGATACAAATACTTTTAAGTTTTAATTGCTTAGTAAGAATGCTACAATTTTTATCCTTGCTGGTGTTGCTCAGTTTTTAGAGTGTTGGCCTGCACACCAAAGGGTTGCAGGTTTGATTCTCAGTCAAGGGCATGTACCTGGGTTGCAGGTTTGATCCCTGGCCCTGGTTGGGGTGCGTACAGGAGACAACAAATTGATGTGTGTCTCTTACATCAATGTTTGTCTCTTTCTCCCACTCTAAAAATCAATGGGAAAATATCCTCAGGTGAGGATTAGGAAAAACAAACAAACAAACAAAAATCCCTTTCACCCCCCCCCCCCATATCCTTCTCTTCAACTCTCTAAAATCAGTGGAAAAAATAACAAAAAAGAATGCTACAAATTTTAATTAAATCGGGGGAAATTATACCTTGTTTTTTTTAGTTGTGCATTTTACCCCCCAATTACTAGTAAGGTTAAACTTTAAAAATATATTCTTATATTTTGTGTTTATATTATGAATTATTAGTATTATAAAAATTTCTTTTATTGATTGATATTTTGAGAGAGAGAGAGAGATTGATTTGTTGTTCCACTTATTTATGCATTTATTGGTTGATTTCTTGTATGTGCCCTGATTGGAGGTTGAACCTGCAACCCTGGCTCATTGGGACAATGCTCCAACCAACTGAGTCACCTAGCCAGCACAATTACTTTTCTTCTATAATTTGTTTTTGGTGTTTTTCTTACATATTTCTTTGAGTTTTTTAAAATAAAAGAGATAACCTTAATCTTTTGCCATATTGCCTAAACACTTTTTTCAGTCTGTTCTTTACTTTTTGACTTCAGTTGAATGTTATCTCCCATATGTAGAGGTTTTTAAAATGGTCATTTGGACAAATCCTCCCTCTGTGTACCCCCATGTCTTCCGCTTATGTGAGTCTGATAAATAATCCAGTGCTGTTTCATTTAATTTTTACATTTTTTTGTATTTAAAAAAGTAATCATGTTTTCTTGTTTTGCATCAAAGGACAAATAAAAGGAAATATTAGAAATAACTAGATTAGGGAGGTATTTCACCAGTAGACAGGATATGATATTCAAAAGCATTGAATTAGATGGCTCTCTCTTTTTTTTTGGTACATGCCCCTAGCAGGAACCAAACCTAGGATTCTCTGGTCCGCAGGCTGACGCTTCAACCACTGAGTCAGACTGGCCAGGGCTTAGATGGCTCTCTTAAAAGAGGAGTAGGGCACCCTGGCCGGTTTGGCTCAGCGGTTGGAGCATCGGCCTGTAGACCAGAGTCCCGGGTTCGGTTCCCTCTAAGGGCACATACCTCAGTTGCAGTTCATCCCTGGCCATGGTTGGGTCGTGTGGGCGGCTACCACTCGATGTGTCCCTCTCACATCAATGTTTCTCTCTCTCTCCCTCCCGCTCTATCTGACAATAAATGCAAAAATGTCTTCGGGTGAGGATTAAACAAAAAAAAAAGGAAAACTTCAATTAAAAAAAAAAAAAAGAGGAGTAGGGCGTTCAGACAACTTTTGATGAATGTAGACTGTTTTAATCATTCAGATGGCTGTTTTACTGGTCTTTTTATTCATTTGCCATATGGTCCTAGATGTACTGTTGTGGGAATTTACTGAAAACTCTTACTATTGTCCTCTTTCTCATCCTCTTTCTTTTCTACCTGATTTCACTTTGATTATGACTTTAGTTGATAATTTATCAAGCAGTTGTAGTCTCAGGGTACATAAATATGTTCAAGTCAGCTATACAGTTCTGCACATTTTCATGGGTAATATAAGGTTAATAATGTTTTATATAATTCAGTAGAGCTAAAACATTGAAACATCAGTATAATATTTTACCTTCTTTTTTATATTAAATCTTTAAAATTTGATGTGCATTTTATACTTGCAGCACATCTGAATTTGAACTAGCTACATTTCTCTGTACCGCAGGCCGACACTCCAACCGCTGAGCCAAACCGGCCAGGGCTGAACTAGCTACATTTCAAGTGCTCACTCATTAGTCACATGTAAGATAGTGGCTGCTATATTGGACAACTCATTTCTAGAGTGATAGAGAGGAATGAGGAAAGGATAGTGTGTTAGAAGCTAGAGACAAGGGAAAGAGTGGCCTACAAGAGCTGTGTGCAACTGGGTTCAGCTCCCTGAAATAGGGCTGATGTCAGTAAATTTTAGGGCTAGACAGCCTCCCCACACTGTACAGTGCTTTGGGGGCATAGAGAAAGCATGAATGTTCAAGAGACTCAGATCAAAAGGCAGTCAGGGAGCCCTGGCTTGTTTGGCTTAGTGGTTAGAGTGTTGGCCCGTGGACCAGAGTCCCAGGTTTGGTTCCCGCTAAGGGCAAGTACCTTCGTTGCAGTTTGTCCCCAGCCCTGGTTGGGTTTGTGTGGGTGGCAGTCACTCAATGTGTCTCTCTCTCTCTTCCTCCCTCTCTCCCGCCTGTCTCTCTCTCTCTCCCTCCCTCTCTCCCGCCCGCTCTATCTCAAGATAAATGCAAAAAAAAAAAAAAAAAAGGCAATCAGGGAAACAGCCACCCTAAGGGATATTTTATATCACTGTTTATATGGTTTTCTCAATTCTAACACCTCTACCTCCAGATTTCCTTTAGTCTACTCTTTGACTTGTTGTTTATATACATTTTATTTTATTTTATTATTTTATTTTCCTCCCCTGAGGACACGTCTGCATTTATCTTTAGATAAAGTGGGAGGGAGAGAGGAAGAAAGAGAGAGAGAAACATTGATGTGAGAGAGACACATTGAGTGGCTGCCACCTACCTGACCGCAACCGGGGCCGGGGACAAACTGCAACCGAGTTCTGTGCCCTTAGCGGGAACTGACTCTCCGGTCCACGGGTCAATGCTCCAACTGCTGAGCCAAACTGGCCAGGGCTGTTTATACACATTTTAGACTGTTGCTGCTAAGCACAGATTGGCTGTTGTGGACCACGGGCATAAATGAGATGTTGCCTTTTAACTTTGGAATTCTAGCCTCTGATCGAATGAATCTAAGCATGTATTCCGTGTTTGATTTCCTTCTCTGACATCCTGACCAGCGTTCAACAGTGTTCTAAGTTGGCCAGAGTTGTCATAGGTCTTCTGTTCTAGAAAAAATGTGAAATAACAAGAAACTTAAAATATATTTGTTAAATGTGTTATAAATTGTATTTGAAAGGAAAAAGTAAATGTAACATAATCTGATTAAGGAAACTAATTCAATACATATTTTTTGTGCACCTATTGTATTCTCCTATATTCTATAGATCACTGTTTTACAAACTGGTTTCTAGTGATTATGGGTCATGAAATCAGATAGGTAGGTTGTGACTAGCACTTAAAAAATACAGTAGAATACAGAGTATATTACAGCTTGTAAAGGTAATATATTTTGTTTGAGTTACATGTGTGTACTGTAGATCCCTTAATAAAATTTTTTTACTGTGGGCCATAGTAAAATAAAATGTGAAAGCAATTGACATTGATTAGGAGACATACTTTTTTTTTTATCCTCACCCGAGGACATTTTTCCATTTTTTGTTCAGGTAGAGTGGGAGGGAGAGAGAGGAAGAGAGAGAGAGAGAGAAACATCGATGTGAAAGGAACACATCGAGTGGCTGCCACCCGCACAACCGACCAGGGCCGGGGACAAACTGCAACCGAGGTACATGCCCTTAGCGGGAACCGAACCCGGGTCTCTCAGGACCGCAGGCCAACGCTCTAACCGCTGAGCCAAACCGGCCAGGGCAGGAGACATACTTTTGATCCTCAAAGAATTTGTAGTCTAATGGTGGAATAGACAATTAAGACTGAAAACTCACCAATTAAACTTTTGAAGAATCTGATAGCAAATTTTAACCAAATAGAAGAAATAGAAATCTATCCTTTCTTACTCATAACAATTACATAGCTGTGACAGTTAAGGTAATTTAATTAATATTAAACATTTGATGGTAGAACAACTTATTAGGTATTGATATGAGAATATTAGCTTTAGTAATATTTTAGTTATTAACTATGATAAAGATCTATTAAATAGTATAATCAAATGATTTTTAAAAATTTTTTTTAACAGGCTGAAAATGAACTAAGTCTGGCAAGAAAAATGATACAGTGGAAACCATGGGAGCCTTTAGTGGAAGAGCCTCCTGCCAACCAATGGAAATGGCCAATATAATCATCATCAAATGACTTGTGTGTTGAAGGGAAGCTGATGTAATTAAATGTTCTGTTATATCAAAAATGTTTCCATATTATTGACATCTTATAATCAAGAGAACTGATGATGTAGAACATATTTAAGAGATTTGTTAAAACTGATAATTATAGTAATAGGGACGTGTTGAATCAGTTTTTGTTTTAGCATTCATTCACATTATTTCAAAGATGACATTTTCTTAAAAAATAGAGGTTCTAGAAAGATATGAAAGTTGGAAAAGTTCCTGTTTCAATGCATAGGCCATATATTTGATAAGTGAAATATTTTTAGTAGTATCTTTAACACCTTTAATTTTTATTCTGAAGAAACCAGAAAGGAACTTATTGCTTAAACAAATGTATAGGCCACTGTTTACAGTGAACTAGCAAGAACAAAAACCATTAAATTAGAATTCATTGTACAGTTGAGGAAATTGATTTTGTATTTGAAAGAAAGATTTCTTATAATTGTAGTTGGAAACCTTTTTTGTTTTTATTTTTTGTCCCATTTAAGGAAGTTAGGTTTCTGGTCCTTAATCAAACTACATCAGGATAGAAAGAGACTTTGTGTGAAGGAAGAGATATTAAGAGTTCCTAAAGTTTATCTGGCATATGGATAGGCTTATATTGAAAACATCTTAGTTGTATGGTTATAACTTCCAAGTGGAATCACTAAGTAATGTTTACTAAGTTTCTAATATGAGTATAGCTGAGTATCAAACAAGATAAAGCTATTCAAGGAAAGAAGCAATTGATAAGTTTAAGGTAAAAATAAAATTACTTTTCAGGTGTCCTCATCTTTCTTTCTAGCCCCATATCATTTCTAAAAGCTTAATTAAGTTTAGTATTTCTTACCTTCAAAGATAGGGTTTTTATTTATTTGTTTGTTTATTTTTGTTACAGATGTTTCTCCTTTTTCTCCCACTGATTCCCACCTCCTCCTCCCTCCCCGCCCTCTCCCCAGCTTTGTTGTCCATGTCGTTCATGCACACACACATATAAGTTCTGTGGTTTATCTTTACTCCTCACCCCCTCTTCTGGGGATAGTCAGTCTGTACCTCACTTCCACGTCTCTGGGGCTACCCCATTCCTCAGACTGTTATGTTCATTATATTCCACAAATAAGTGAGATCATATGATACTTGTCTTTCTCTGTTTGGCTTGTTTTGCTTAGGATGACACTTTCCAGGTCCCTCCATGTTGTCTCAAAGGATAAGAGATCTTTCTTACAGCTGCATAGTACTCCATTGTGTATATGTACCAAGCTTTTGTGTCCATTTGTCTACTTATGGACATTTGGGCTGTTTCCAGATCTTAGCTATTATAAATAGTGCTGCTACAAACATGGGGATGCATATATTCTTTCTGATTGGTGTTTCAGGCTTCTTAGGGTATATTCCTAGAAGTGGAATCACTGAGTCAAGTGGAAGTTCAATTTTTAATTTTTTGAGGTACCACCATATTGTTTTCCATAGTGGCTGCACCAGTCTGCATTCCCACCAGCAGTGTACTAGAGTCTCCTTTTCTCTTGTGCTTGTGCGTTTTGTTATCTCCATGCCAAAGCAGAATCTTTCAGAATGAGGAAAAATGTGTTTTTCTTTTTCCCAATAAATTACTTCTCTTATAGAGCTGTAAATTGAATGCTAAATAAATATTAAATGAAGAGGATTGAGTTACTTTTCAGCAGCCAGACTAAAGAGAAAACTGCTGTGAGGGAAGTGGGAAAAAGCATTAGAGGGCGAGTCAGAAGTCCAGGGGTTCTCATTCCCATGATCGTTGTGCCATCATGAACTCTGATGTGGAGGCAAGTTGTAAAGCCCTTAGAAAGGCCTATTTCCTCCGTAAAAGTAGAATTTGTGATTTATAACTTCCTTTTTAATTATAAACATTTGCTTTAATACATTATATTTGTTAAGATATATCATTGATCCTAAGGCATGTTTGCATAGATGCTTTCAGGATAATTTTTTTAACCGTAAAAACAGGTGGCTTGATGTGCCTTTGTCATATTTCAGCCCCACTTCTTCCATGATCCTTGGGCACCTTATATATTTCACCAACAGATCTCTATTGACTATTGATGAACAGGGACCTTATTGATGTTTGCATTAGAAATGTCGTATGCCCTGGCTGGTTTAGCTTAGTGGTTAGAGCATCAGCCTGCAGACCAAGGAGTTCCAGGTTCAGTTCCAGTCAAGGGCATGTACCTTGGTTGCGGTTTGGTCCTTGGCCCTGGTCAGGATCATGTGGGAGGCAACAAATTGATGTGTCTCTCTGATGCTGTTTCTCTGTTCCCCCTACTCTATCTGAATATAAATGGGAAAGAAGTATACTCGGGTGAGATTAAAAAAAAAAAAAAAGATGTTGTAGTATAGTAGTAGTCATAGTATTAATATAATAATAGATTATATTTGTTAATATTTGCCAGGTACTAAGTACTTGACTGATTTCACTTAGTAAATCTGCATAACAACTTTAAGAGTGAGATCCTGAAAATTACCTCCATTTTCTAGGTAAGGAAACCAGAATCCAATGTGAGTAGTGTTCCCTGCAGTTGTGCAACATGGGGATCCTGGAGAAATTGAGGCAAAGAGATGCTATAATGACATACCCAAGATCACATAGCTAGTAAGATATGGGGCTACATTTTGAACCTATACAATCTTGTTCAGAACTCTTGCTCCTAACCATTATATTATTCCTTATGAATGCTTGAGATGTTACTCCTGCCTATACTACATGGGCTGTACCAAAAGAACCTAGATCCTGGTTTCTTGACTTTTTCTGTCCAAGTACATATAAAGAATAAATGTGAACAGAAGTAGTAAACTGGATTTTATTTTGTGCAGAAATCTTCACATGGATCACAGGCTGATCATTGGTAGGTATCTAAAAGGTATTGCACTGTGGTCCATCATTCTTTTACATTTCATAACTGCCATTCCAATTGCTCATCTTACATTTGCTTGTTTTTACTCTGAAATGTTTTCCAGTTGTGTCCTATAAACTTCCAGATTAAGCTTTCCTGACCAATTGGAGATGGTTCTTTTTGTTAAAGATATTCAGTGTTGCTGAGTGGCGTCTAGACTAATTTGAGTAATTTTCAGATTGGCCCATTTCAATTCTCCTTAGGTTCCTCATATTTTATTCAATTACCATACTCCAGACACTTCAAAAGAAAAAGAAACTAATCAATTCGAGTTTTGTAAACAAGAAAATGGCAGCAAAATTGATATCTTTTTCCTACCTGTGGGCTGAAGGCAGAATATTCAAAATTATGGTATGCTTTCCTTTGGGTGAAAATGGCTTATATTTGTATTACTGTGATTTTTTACTGAACCTGTAATGATTTTGAGAGTAAAAGGAAGAATTCATTTTATAAGGTTAACAGGTATAAATCATGACTACCTGGGGCAAACAGGATATGTGGCACCCACTTGAAGTACGGATCAACTCTGAGGGTCGCCATCTCTTCTACACCAGGAGAAGTTGGTGTAGTCTGTCATCTGAATGGAAAGAATATGATGCCATTAGTGGCAGCCATCATATGCCACCAGGCTTCACTCTCCATTATTCTCCCCCTCTCCCACCTCAGAATTGGGGGACGGAAGGAGTTTATTTTGATTGTAGTATTTCCTTTTCTAATTCTAAAGTGTAGTTACAGAGGTGAAGCTAATTGAGTTTATTGTTGTTATCATGCAAAGCAGGTTTATTTGCATGGGCAGCAATGAGGATTAAGATAACTAAATAGCCCTGGCTAGTTTGGCTCAGCGCTTAGAGCTTCGGCTCTCGGACCAGAGAGTCCTGAGTTCGGTTCCCACTAAGGGCACGTACCTGGGTTGCAGTTTGTCCCCGGTCCCGGTTGGGGTTGTGTGGGTGGCAGCCACTCCATGTGTCTCTCACATCAATGTTTCTCTCTCTTCCCCACTCCCTCCTGAAGATAAATGCAAAAATGTCCTCGGGTGAGGATTACAAAAAAATACTAGATAAAAAGGAAAGAAAGTCTGTCAAATGGAGATCAAGATTATTAAATAGCTGACTTTGGGACTTAACTACCACTGGAAGACTTGCTGTATTGCCTTTATGATTTCACTTATAGTGCAATTTAATGAACAAAATAAAATAGAAACAGATACAGGAAACAGACTAAAAGCTGTCAGAGGGGAAAGGGGTTGGAGCTGGGTGAAAACAAAGGGATTAAGCAAAAAATAATCACCTCAGATAGACAACAGTATGTTGATTACAAGAGGGAAGTGGATTGGGGGCATGTGGATGAAGGTAAAGGGATAAATGGTGAAGTAAAGAGACAACTTTCAGTGGTGAACACACAAAACAATATGCAGATGGTGTATTATGGAATTGTATACTCAAAACCTATATAATTTTATTAACCAATGTCACCCTGATATATATATATATATATATATATTTTTTTTTTTTTTCTTAAAAGTTGTCTCTTCACCTGATGTTCAGCAGGCTTTTTACACAGGCCTTTCTGCCGGGCCAGTTCTTACTCCTTTTGACAGCCAAGATGATATTCCAGATAGTCTGTGTTCTTTGTTTATCCAGGAACTCTCCCAAGAAATCTGAGTTCAGTTTCACGATTCTTACAAGCCAAGAGTTCAGGTCTTACAAGGCATTGTTTAACATGTTATCCAACCGTAGAGCGGACTTTCCATCTCCTGTGCCATTTCCCCATTTATCTATATAAGGCCTCAGGTTTTCTTTTTGAAAGAGAGAAAATCGATAATGTTCTGTATAAGAAAATTCTCACATATTCGCTAATATTAGCTTTTTCTTTTTCTTCCAGCCTCTATAGTTACATAGAGAAACAGAAGTCAAAGAACCGTCCTATGTGAGGGTATTCTGGGATGTAGGATGAAGTACCAAGTCATTGAACATACCATGAGTATTTTGCATCTGGGCAAAATTTCCTTTAAAACTCAGTACTCAATGGGATGGCAGCCTATGCTACAATAATAGCAATGCTTTGAGAAAAAAAGTAAATGAGGAGATAGGAGTTTGGTTTAGAGGAGTATGAATAGGTTGATTTTAAATAGAATTTTCAAGAATCAAAGTGGGAATGTGATATAAGATTTGAATTATTAAACCACAGAACTTATATGCATGTATGCATAACCAATGGACATGGACAACAAAGCTGGGGAAAGGGTGGAGGAGATGGGGAGGGGGGTATCAATGAGGTAAAAAAGGAGAAACATCTGTAACAAAAATAAAATTCAATAAAAAAATAATAGATTAATTAAAAAAAACAAACTCAGAGTTCTGATGGAAAGGTTTGAAGAAATGACAAGACTTTTTGAAGTACCTGGATGAAAATTATTCTGTAGGTTAGTGGCTACTGGGTTTGTAGTACTACAGAATATATACAGGGGTGGGCAAAAGTAGGTATATGAATAAATAATACAGTGATTAATAAATAATAATACCAGAATTGTGTTTTGTATACTCACAACTATAGACCTACTTTTGCCCACCACTGTATGCCTCATTCTCAGATACTGTTACCTTGAAAACATGAGAATATTTAAATAAAATCAAAGTATCTTACTTAAATGGTGAAAGGGACATTGTGTGTGTTACTTATGATTTGTGATTTTTATTTTAATAAAATAAGTTAGGCAATTAAAAAAAAGATTTGAATTATTGATGGGAACTGGAGAAATTTATTCAAACATCTTTATGTAGAGTTAATAAGCCAAAACTTTAGTTAATGAAAGAAAGTAGTGAGAAAAGTAGTTGTTAGCACAGGCTACCCTTAAATCCGAAAGTCTTCACACAACAAAAGTTTGTTCCTTATTATTATATGTCTAATGAGGATTGACAGTGCTCAAAGAGTCACATAAGGGATCTTGGCTGAGGATGGCACCATTTCAAGACATGCTTCCATAAACATGGACAGGGGAGAGGGAACATGGCACATCACACATAGAAACAAAAAAGAAACAGAACCAGGTGTAAAACATTTTTTGGCCTTGCCAGTGTGGCTCACAGGTTGAGAATCAACTCATGCACCAAGAGGTTGCCGGTTTGATTCCTGGTCAGGGCACATGCCCAGGTTGTGGGCCAAATCCCTACTGGGGGGCATGCAGGAGGCAGCCAATTGATGTTCTTTCTCATCGATATTTCTATCTCTTCCTCTCCATTCCTCTCTCTCTACATTCAATAAAGAAAAAAAACACGTTAAAAAAAAAGAAAAAAATTTTCTTTAAATGTGCTCTAGAACTGAATTTATCTGGTCATGTATCGCTAATAATTTTCAAAGCTATCTTTAGGTTTATGGTAGCAGTTAATTTTGCACTGTGCCTAAATATAATTTATGGTGGGTTAGCCTCTTTCTGTAAATGACTGTGTAAATGAAAGCATTCAGAGATTCTTTTTGGGGGGATTTCTCATGATCACAAATATGGGTGTTTTGTTTTTGTTCAGGTGAACCTTTTAGGCATTTCTACATGTAAACATTACTATTTTATAATACAATATTTCATTTTACTCTTTTTTTCTGTGATAGGTGAGCTGATTCTTTTTCTTAGGTTCAAAATTTCCTATGTAAATTGCAAACTCCAAAAATGTTTGAAAACAGAAATTTTTTTCACAACTCATTGGAAGCAGATTCTGACTGGAGTTAACATAAGGCTATTTGTAGTTTTTATCCCACTTTAATGTGAGTATGAATATATTTTGCTAAGAAGTATTAATGTATTTGATTCTGCTTCTATGATTCTATTTCTTCAGACCCATTGAATGTGTACCAGAATTTATACTATATGCTCATATTACCTTCCAAAAATGAGAAAAATTCTGAATTTCAAACACATCGTCCCTTATGAGTATAGAAAAGGGACTATGGAAATACTATTTGTATTTCCAGTCTCTTAACTAGCTCACAGAGTTATTATGATTCAAATTGAATCCATATACATGATTTCCAAAGCATAATTTTAAGTCCTTGTTTTTCTAAATTATTCTTTTCTTTTTCCCCAATTCATTCATTTATATCAAAATATATTTTATCCTGAAGTAACAATGGGAAATACTTTAAACTGCTTGATTTTATAAGGCCACTAGGTGGCATGTTTGTAAAAATAAAGCACATTAAAAATATTTATTGCATAATACATGCTGAGATAAATAAAGGCAGGTGTTTAATAAGAAATAAAGATAAATCATTTTGGGCAATAAGTTCTAAGCAAATGTATAGGTTTATTGTGAAAAGTAAGTAGGAAATGATGTAAAATTACTTTTCCACTTTTAGAATTGACTCTTTCCCATTGGTTGTTTTCACCTTGCATTTACATTTATTTTATACAACCAAATAACTACGGTGTGTGTATGAGTGTGATTTTGATGTGCTAATAAACTTTCCAACCTGCATAGAATGGAGTACCTGGGAAGCCGACCAATAAAATTAGGCTCACATGGTTATATAAGATCATCTCCACAGTAAATTATAAATAAAATGTGGCCCTGGCTGGTTTGGCTCAGTGGTTAGAGCATTGACCTGAGGACTGAAGGGTTCTGGATTCCATTCCAGTCAAGGGCTTGTATCTGGGTTGCAGGTTATATCCCCTGCCCCGGTCGGGGTCGTGCAGGAGCCACCAATCGTG